TACATGATCGTATCTCCGTCAAACCGGTAGTATAAGCAGGGGGCTCCGTCAGCGACTGCAAGTAGCCATGCTTCTCAAACCAATTGTTCAACTCTGAGTTCCACTCACGTCCCGACTGATGCAATCCATACAGTGCCTTCAACACGACATACACGTATCCGTTGATTTTGCATGGATATTCATCAATGGATCTCAAGTACTGTCTAATCGCTAGCCAGGCATTCAGATATGCGGTATTGATATCTCCACCATACACCATTAATCCCAGCTTTGCTGCCAACGCCAACAGCAGTCTGAACGACGACATTCGTGCTACAGGTGCGAACGTCTCCTTGAAGTCAGTCCCCGGCCGCTGATAGTTGCCCAGCGCTACAATACGGGACTTGAAACGAACCACATAACCTTGGTGATCCGACTTCACGTTATACACCCACCTTGTGCTCTCAGGTGCTTCTTCTTCTGGCATCACATTCGCAGGAATCTCAGCAATCACTCCCTTGGCCTTGAGAGCTGCCATCTCTTCCATCTCTGTCATCATGAAAAAATCTTTCCACTTTGATCGCAGCATCTCGCGTCGATTGCGTGGGATCTTGATCTCGCTAGTACGAATGGGTCGTCGATTCTTGTCCAGTACTCGAGACGAATTCATTGTCACGTTCACCATGTAATCATCAAGATATGCAGGACGTCGACGCTCGTGATACTTCCGAAGTCCAGTCCGAACCTTCTTCGCATTCTTCGGATCTGCTTCCTGTTCGGCCCGTTCCTCCTCTGAAGGAGTCTCATCACGGTGCGTCCGCTTCCCAATTTGTTTGGACTGTACCAGCGCAACAGTTCCTGCATCCCCCACTTCTCTGTCTGGTTCATCATCAGTCCATACCATCTCTTCGGTATCACTCTGAAATTCTGCATCCTCGTTGCCCAGATCCTCAGCAAAGACACTTGCCACTGTAATGTCCTCATTACCACCAGAATCCTCGTGTTCATCCAGCTCTTGGTCAGCTGTCTCAGAACCACAGGTTCCAGCCACAGACACTACTTCTTCATCTTCAATGTCGATAGTATCATTCGCTTCCTGGTTGTTTTCGTCCTCAGGTATTTCACCAACATCGACATTAATGTCTTCATCGAGGTCACGTGATTGATCTTCATCATCTCGTGCACTCTCAACTATAACATCAGCTTGCTCATCAACATCGTCATGTCTGTCATCTTCCACAGCATTGTCATCGAGTTGAACAGTCTCAGCAAGTTGACTATCACCGTCCAGACCATCACTGCCTGAGCCACCGCCATTTTCATCGGCATGGTGCACTTCAACATGCACAGCTGAATACACTCCACGTCCATTCTGTGTCTGCATATCACTACACTTGCCTCCCTCGAGATCCAAGTACGGCACAGTGCTCAGCTCGCTCAAATCAGTTTGGTTTTCTTCTTCTCTTTGAGTGAAATGAAGAGAAGAAAGATCATCATCTTCCAGTTCAGTTGCATGTCGATCACGTACATGACATCTTCTGCAACTCGCAAATCAGATACAAACTTCGCCGTGTGCTCGTCAGGGAAGTAAGCTTTGCATCCAGCTACATCTTCAGCATAACCCAACACGAAACCGATCTTCGCATGATCGCTAAGTTTCTTGCGTCCAGGAGTTACTGGTACATGAACATAAGCTAGTGCGAATGTGGTGCACGTCCGGCTTGATGCCAAGTAACATCTCGTAGGGAATTTCGCCAGTTCCCTTGCTAAACACGCGGTTCTTCACATAAACTGCGTTTCTCATGGCCTCCGGCCACAGGCTCCTCGGCAACCCTGAGTGTGCCATCGTAGACCGAGTCATATCTTCCAATGACTGATGTGTGCGCTCACACAGGTTGAGCTGCGAACTCTTCGGTCCGACTTTCACGTGCTCAATCCCCTTCGATCGATACCATGCATCAATTTTGCCATTGAAGAACTCACTGCCTTTGTCACTCCAGACTTGCAGTACTTTGTGGGCAGCTCCGCTGGTGCTCCGACCAGCCTGCCGTTTCGCCCACAAGACATATTCCCGCATGTGCTTGTTCACCTCCTTGCTGTCTTTACTCTTCAGCAGGTACACCGTGACAAAGCGAGAATAACCATCCATAATCACCAGGACGGCTTCATACCGAGAAGAATTGTTCTTGCCCGGAATCAGAAGGTCTGCATAGACACCTTGGTTCGGTCTCTTCAGTCCCAGATCCAGCTTCTTGCGGTGTGATCTCTTCTTCTGCTTCCCAATGTGGCACGCATCGCATGTTTCCTACTGTCGCTGTGTCAGCATAATTCCGTGCACTAGCTCCTTGTCCACCATGGTGTTCGGATACTGTGGGCATGTATGACATAATCTTTCATGCCAAAGCTTCAGCAAACCAACACCTTGAGCCATGGTGTGGTTGCATACTGCTGCTGCTTCTGAGATCACTCTTGCTATCTAAGTTGGAGCTGCTACCTGAAATCCTTAAATAGCATCCTGCGCCGTCGTAACAGCTACAGTCCTTCCATCTCTCAGTATGTCAAAACTTCTAGTTTCACTGTTAAACTCAGTAGTAAAACGTTGCTCAAAGGCAAGTCCCGGAGAAAACAAGCCATACTCTGCGTCAGGAATGTACAGCACTCCATCGATATATGTTACCACTTGTTCTCCGTCTACCTCTGTCATCAACGCCACTGTTCCCATTCCTGCAATTCTTGAGGCAATGGTTGGCGTAACACCTCGGATATTCTGAAGTTATCCGAGTCCGCCGTGTATGACACAAACGCAGCGAAATTACCCGTGACGTGCGAGTTGGAAGCCGTATCCAGATACCACCACCCGCCATTAAGCCGTCCAGTTTCTTGATCGCTGTCTATCAGATGTGCTTCACCACTATCTGCCTCAGGATCATTTACTGGGTCTTCGTCACTCACTGTTTCGCCGTCACTCACGACTCCATGATTACGTGCATCTTCAACATGATTTTCAACTTCTCGAGCTTCATCTTCATGCACGAATTCATCCTGTCCATGTGCTTCACCGCGTCCTTGAGGGTCTTCATGAACTTCACGTAACTGCCCAAGTCCTGCTACGACACCCTCATCCTGTTCACGGCCCATTTGCACAGGTATAGTTATCTCCTGTCGCACGGTGTAGTTACTCCGTGGCTTGCGCTTCTGCTCAGTGCTTCCACCATTCTCCTGCACCTTTGATTTATCAGGACAATTTACCCGCAGATGGTCTTCACTGCCGCAAGAATAGCACTTCCGGGCACTCTTGAATCCACCAACTTTGTCCTCCTGAGAACTCCCTTTTCTCTCGAATGCTTTTCCACTTCCTCCTCTCGAATTACCCTTCTTGTCACTACGCTTTCCTCGGAACTCTCTCTACCGAGCTGCTGCTGCGAGAATCAGCCCCCTCATCTTCTTAGGTGAGTACACACTCGAATCCGCTCCATAGTAGATAGAAGATTTCAAATGTTCGAGCTCAACTTGATCAGGCAAACTCTCCAGTAGCATATCCACCATTGTGGTGTCTGCAACGGTATGATTCGAGTCGGCCAACTCGGTCTTGAGGTTGAACATCTTACAGAGGTGAAGATTAGCATCACTTCCAGGGGTTAGCTTCGTATTCCAAAGCTCGTTCTCTACGCGACGAATCGTATATGCCTTGATCGCTTCGTTCTGCTTTCCTTCATACAGACTACACAGCTCACTCCACATCTCCGATCCGGTCTCCTTGTCGCGTATCTGATGCAGCACGTCTGCCGGTACTGAAGTACCAATTAAGCGCATGATCTTCAACTGCTTCTTCTCAAATTCCTCTTTCTTCTCCGCACTCGCGGTAGAAAGCATCACCTTGGTCAAATCACCGACCCGAATGACTTTGACATCTTGCTCTTTGAAGACATTCATTAGCGCCCACTTATACGTCTGCCAATCCTTGCCGTTTCAGGTTTTCGGCACTCCTTTACTCGGGTATGTCAGCGGCTTCGGCTTTGGGCTCATAACCCTAATGGAACTCCGTTCCGTGAAAACACCTCTGACTGCTTAGACTCTTGGAAGGTAAAATGAAGACTGAATTATTTAAGTGCTAGCGCTGCTCTCCCAGAGCTCCTACCAACACTAACGTATTCAACCCCGTTCTCAGACAATGACCTGGCCCAACTGATTCTCATCTTGTGTCCCAACAGTTCGTTGTGCCTGGTCCCCAATACGTATTCCAACAGAGCGAATTCGTACTGAGCTGCTGCAGCATAGAGCTGGTAGAGCATCTCCGCTGACAGCGCGGTCTCGCCCAGCTCCGTGTTGAGCACGTAATACTGTTGAGCGAAGTCGGAATGCAGCCAGTAAATTTGAAGCTCATCTTTACAGGCACGTCAATGGAGGACACTGGGCGGATACCACCAGGCGAACACTGCCAACATCGCCGTATGCGACAGTATTTCTGTTGAAACAGATACAGTAGGCGATTGGACGAAGGTGATGAATTTGGATTGTTTTTTTGCTTATCATGTGATAAAGTAAATTTTAAGGCGTTTTTTTAAAACAGCATACCGATACTTTATTCAAATGGGATGCCTGAATAATTTGCTACAACAAAACAAATACTGTTTACTTTATCTTGCAGATCTTACTTTTATTCGAATAATTTACATGGACGTCACGACTTTCGAACGATTTTTAGCTGCTATTATAGGATACAACATGCTGGAAGGTTCATTAAAAACAAAACTGCGATCCACTTTCCACGATCCTTTTTTATCGACGGAATGGGACCTCTTCCGGGGAAACTACAGTAGTGTTGAGAATGATACCTTCACCGTTTTTGATGGTATGAGATTCTACTGTCGTCCCAGACCCCAGTAATCTTAAAAACGTCAGGTTTGCCCATCCCTAAAAATCATTTTTAGTTGTTTTTTTACTTTGTTCATGAATCGCTAAACGGTCATTTATCGTCTCAACTTAGTTTCCTAAATCATTGCACACGATGCTCTCGTCTCTTAATTCTTCAAGCCTAGAAAAGCTTTTACTGCGGAAGACTCTTTCTTCGAAATGGTACCGGCCTCACGGGCTGCCTTGATCGCGTTCTTGTTCTCTATCTTCCCCATGTTCAATAGAGTACCGGCGGCATTCAGCCTTTTGATGATCCCGTCGATGCTACCATACTTTGTCCGCTCTTCATCAGCGGTCATCAGGTCAACGTCTTCTGGATCGGTGGCTCGAAGGAATCTCTTCCGGGGTTCAGTACTGACCGTACCCACGAAGTCGGGAGAGGTCTTCGACATGAGCTGAGGCTTATCGGCGTTCGTGGACGCTGCGACAACATGGGTGCGAGCTAAGACGGCGACGGCAAGTGCAACGTAGAATAAACTGCGCATGATTGTGACGAGGGATGCTGCTAGTAGGAAAAGGCTTGCCGTCTTGAAAGCGGAATGCGAAGTGACTGCTGGAATTTTTCGTTTGCACCGTTGCCTCCGGTTTGGCGGTCCAACCATTGGGATCGATGATATGAATCATATCTATCATTGGCGATGTTACAAAGGATGACCATTACCTGTATACTGTAAAGTACACCAAAGTAAGAATGTACTTTCTCAGAGGTGACACTCCCAGCTACAGTGGCAATTGCTGATGTCTGAGGCATTAAGGACAGCAAAGGTTAGTAACCTTTGTATCACTACTTCGATAGTGGAGTATCGTCAGCTCCAAGAAAAAATGTGCAGATTCCTCGAACAGCGTGTCGAGTACATGTATATCCTGTTGTTTAGGTGCGAAATCCTTATTGCATCGTCAGAACTTGGACCTGACCTACACTTGTCAGCATCGTCAACTAACAGCCCTAATAGCCAATCATATTCAATAACGGCATGAATTGGTATAAATGACTAAGACTCATATTAATCCGAAGACCCTAATTGATTCCGAAGATCGAAGATTACGAGCCACTCGCAATCCCCATGCTCGGAGTCCGAGCCAACATGGGGTTGCGACATGCATGATTTGGTAAAATTTAATTCGACAACGAACGGTGCAGCAGTACATGTAGCTTACAGTTTACTCATCGTCAAGTTTGCCTACATGATGTAGGCAAACTTGACGACGAGTAAACTTGATTGCGAGTGCTTCTATTTTCTCAAACAACAAGTAGTCTCCATCGCATTTTGATAGTTTTACATACAAAAGATCCCTGTACAGAAGAGGTCGCAAACGTAATTCTCCGGCTAGCCGTATCCATCCGAAAGCCCAAATCATCAAGTTTCGAATGACCATGGCCAACCGTGCGAAATGAGCGATCGGTTAACCGAAAATTACGTGTAATTTATGCATAGAATGGAAAATAAACGATAAATATTTTCTTATTCAATATTTCCGCTCAAACCAGGGAACCCGAAAAAAATAAAATGCATAAAAATTAATCCTAATTTTTTATTTAATTATTAATTTATGGCTGTCAACAACGGTAACTTAAAGAGTTTCAGGGGCGATCCTAGCCGGGAAGACGACTCAGCAAAAGAGGGTCAGACTTCGACGACAAAGCAAGTTAGCAGAAAGCGCCAAAAACACGCCCAGATATACGATTCTGTTGCAGATATTTTAGAGCGTGTGAGCGTGTTGCTTGACAATGAGAAGCAGAACACTAGCACAGTGCAAGACGACACGTGGGGCGAACAAAAATTACTCATTCAAGAGCAACGATCGGCCCAAAAGCTGAAAACGCTGTACGCAATGCTCGACCGCAATAGCCACGTAATTAATCAGCTCTTGCAAACGCGTCGAGAGTACGTCGAAAAAAGATTAGATGCTGCTGAAATTGGCCACGCCCTCGAGCAACACACGAAGAAAAAGCAAGTACTGGACAGCCAGATTGATGTGCTGGAGTACAAAATTATGAACGAGATGCTGCCGCTTGGCTCACCACATTCAACATCCAGCTAACGGGCGCGGGGCCGTCGAAGGTTAAAGCTCTGAATTTGAGTCGTGACTACTTCACGTAGTATCCGTCCTTGTGCATCACGACGCAAGACATTCGGCTCACTGGCATTGTCCGTTGGCTGATACCAGCTCTCTGGTAAGCTATGAAACTCCATAGCAACTGCCCGTATGCTCGTAGTAGCGTTTTGGTTTTTGGTTCTCTCATTAATACAGAAGTTATGCAACTTCATGCACGTCTTGACGAGCAACCCGAACGCCATCTCAATACGAATGCGTAGCTGGCTTAAATAAAAATTGTAGTCTGAATGCGCCTTGCATTTAGTTTCAAGCTTGTTGAGCGGCACCAGCAATGAATCGGAAAGTGGGTACGCGTTGTCGCCAATGATGTAAAACCCTGGAGGAAGCTCCATGATCTTCTCGCTCAGCTTCCACTTCTTGAAAACAATCGAGTCGCCTACTTTTCCAGACGAGTCAAAGCAATACCCAGTAAAACGTGACAGCGAATCACAAATTGCTTGGACATTGAGGCCGTACTTTTGGTAATGCCCGGAGAAGAACGAGGTAACATCCGGTACTTCTTTTGACGATAGCGCCTGGATTTCACAGAGCCAGCCATCGATGCAGCCCACGCACCCAGTCAGAATACTGTCCCTGCTAGTTGCTGCAAACCCGTCCGCTAAATCAAGCATGCGCTGCTGCGACTCTGTTGGTGCTCGAATCTGAAGTTCTGGGCACGCACAAATGGCATCCATCACGTCATGGATAATAGCGTAGAAGCCCGAAGTGGACGCACCGCCAAGGCACCTGGTTGTATGATAGCTACTACCCGCAAGCCACGAGATCGTCATTTGGAGCATATTTTCGGGGGAAATTGGCTCGGTCCCAGTCCGGTGGCGCGACTGCACTTCGTCTCGTACTAGGTCATGTCGTATCAAAGAGAGCAAGCGGTTGAAAGAAGCTGCTTTCATGCGGTAGCAGCGCTCAAACTGGCCTTCCAGCACCAAAGTTTCCTTGTGCACATTCCAGCTTAGACGCCGGCGGAGAATGCAAGAAGCTCGCTCGTCTGGGACCAGTCCTGCTGCTTCTGGCGCTGCCGCCGTTGCGATGAGGCGGAGAAGGCGTCGGCGTCGACGACGAGCGCTGTCTCCACGCGCAGCTTGCATCCATCGTGGCGCGTACATCTTTGCGAAAAGACGGCAAATAGCTGTCGGCTATCCGGCGATTCCGCCCAGCGCGCGATCCGGGCCTCGGGTCGCAGTGGGTTACACAGGGGTACGCTTTCTCGAAAAAGTGCGAGTGGACTGGCCAATCACAACGCAAGTTTGGGATCGCGATCCCGGTTAGGAACGCCCCTAAGGGCCATGCCGAACCGGGCGTTGATCGTGCCATCCGTGCCATAGGGGTAGGCATCAACTCAGGTGCGATTTTCTTCATGCCGAACCGAAATCGGTTCGTGCCACCGTGCGTGCCATGCAGATTTCGTCGAGCAGCAACTTCTCCCATACGCAGCTTCGCAGCACACAAATGGCTCGTTCTCGAAGCTCCTAGCGGAAGGTCGCTGTGTTGCGGTGGGCTCTAAGCACCATTTTGTGATTCCAAGTGGAGCGTTAAGGCCTGCGCGAGCGAGGATGGAGGAGCTGGCTGCTTTAGCCGCTGCTGGAAGCAATGCTGTAGCTGGAGATGCTGATACTGGTGACGCGTTAGTAGCTGGGCGTGCTCCGGTCACGATCGCTGGTGAAGGCGCTGGGAGCGTTAGTGGTGTTGGTGCTGGCAAAGGTGGTCGTGGTGGTGCTACTGAAAGTACAGGCAGTACTGTTGCATCAAACTGGACCGTGACGAAGCCTGGGGCAGTTCCTGCCCCAACGTCGGACGACTACAATACCTGGAGTGTTGAGCAGTTGCGAAAGGAATGCACGAGCCGCAACCTTCGGCTCAGTCGACAAACGAGTGCGGAGGAGCGCATTAAACGCCTCGCTGGGTTCGATGAGCTGCACCGCTCTATGGTCGCCTCAACGCTGGAATCTGGTGGGGGAACCGGCAACGCCAAGGCATATCCGTCGAAGAATAGCTGTGTTCGACTTCTCACGATCTTGTTCTCCGACAAGTACGCTACTCGCTTCGCGGAGACTGGAAACAACCCAACGCGACAACAGCTCGATGCCGGCGACACCCACGCTAGCTCAACCTTTTGGCGTGATGTAGCTTTGGATTTCAATGGCAATCGCATGGACTTCAACACGCTGCTGAGTGACGACGTACGCTTTGCATGGTTCGACTGTTCCGTCATTGTGGTGCAGGAGGTTGAAACTTTGTACGACATGTGGAAGACCGTCAATCAGAGCTACGTCAAGGCAATGGCTCGATTCACAAAATCGGGAGAGAATGGAGATGATTTCTACAGCTTTTGTGCTGGAGCGTTGGATGTGTTTTACCTGCACGAGAGCCTCCAGTTAAAGCACAACTTGACGCAGTTTGTGGAAGGTGGAATGTTTGACGAAGACCAATTCGATTCGCTTTTGCGCCGTTCTTCTGCTGTTGCTGCTGTTGACACCACCTCGACGCCGTCGAAAAAAATGCGGAACGAGATTGTCGAGTCCATGAAAGCTATGACGGAAAAGCTGTGCGGAAAGGAGACGTCGGTAGAGGACAAGATCATGAAGATGCACCAGCTCATTCAGCATGTGGAGACGCATCGACGAGCGGAGCGCTGTCGGAAAGCCGACGGCGCGCCTCGAGGGCAGTCTGCAGTGTTACCTCGCGAAGCTGAGTGAAATGGAGACGCATCTGAACTAAGCTGTCGAAGCCGTTGCCATATGTAGTGGATTCGCTAATTGTCACTAGACCAATACAACCTCGCTTTCACAATCTAAATGTTTTGTTCAGCCGCCGCGCGACGCTTATTCTACTCGGGTCGGGCCAAATTGCGCTTCAATCATCTGCACAATTCCGTTTCGTAAATCTCAGGTTCCTTGACTCTCGAGGGCTTTGTCTTTTGTTTAGACTTGACCGCCTTCTTTTTCTTCGAGCACCGTGTGCTTCTCTGTTTCTTTGTCAACGCGGAGGATAGCGGGTCACTTGCATTGTACAGATCCTTGTACGAAGCGTTCAAGCTTGAGCGGAAGGACATACTACCTTCGTCATTGTCGTCGGACCGCGACATGTTTCGAAGCGCCTTCGACATGTCTTCATCGCCATCAACGTCACAAAACTCATCTTGTTCCACACGCTCATCAATACAGTAGTTGTGAAGAATGCAAGCCACATGCACGACCCTGGCGACGTTCTTCATTCAAATGCGCAGAGGGGATTTAAAAACCCGCCATTTGTTCACCAAAAGTCCGAAGGCTATCTCAACACGAATACGTAGCTGGCTCAAGAAAAAGTTGTACGCGTCATGACTGTCAGTCTCTGTTTGTGGTTTTGTGAACGGCGTCAAAAGTGTGTTTGTGTTGCTGTAAGCGTTATCACCAAGCAGATAAAACTCTTTCGGAAAAGTGGCTACCACACTTGATAAATGCCACCTTTGGTAAGCCACTGCATCTCCCATTCCATCAGGACATGCGCTTGTGATGGCCAGGAACCGGCTACGATAATCTACGCAGGCTTGAACATTCACGCCGTAGCATTGGTAGTGACCGGAGAAAAAGGAAGCCACACGCTTAACTTCGTTTCGTCTAGGCACTTGAATCTGACAGAGCCATCCGACTATAGCGCCAACACACCCAGTCATGACAGGACTTTTGTCAAGGCCGGACTTGCTCAGAAGCGAAAACTGCTGTGCTGATCTTCGTTGTTCTTGTTCGGTGATCGGGAATCGGAATTGTAGTTCGTCGTGCTCTTCGATAGTGTCCATGACGGCGTGAATGATATCATAGAAACCGGAGGAGCTCGCCCCCGATAGCATTCGAACTGGATGGTAGGAATAGCCTGCCAACCAAGAAACAAAGATCTGAATCTTGTTGACAGAAGACAACGGCTCTGTCCCTGTTCGACGTCGCGACTGGGCCTCATCAACACGTAGACTTGGACCGAGCATCCACACAAGCTTCTCAAACGAGCGGAACGACATTCGATAGTATTGTCGAAATTAACCCTTATTCAGCAGCAACTGTGAGTGATGCTTCCAGTTCAAGCGACGTCGCTCCAAGCAGGGACGTCTCTCGTCACAGCTGACTAAGTAGAGCGCCACTAATTGCAGCGAGAATACAGCAGCAACCAGTCCCGAATCCTCCTCCATCTTTTGGCGCGAAAATGGAAGTGCAAGCCCGCACGAAATCGCTGTAAATTCGAATGTGGCGCGTGGCATGGCATGGCACTACGCGAAGCCATGGCACTTTCGCGGTGCCATCGATGGCAGGTTGCCCCTAGCCCGCTCATCTGGCAGACCAATCAGATGCCGTCGTGGCACAGATGGCACGACATGGCTCCGGTTCGGCATGGCCCTAAGTGAACAACCCCAATTTTGAGAAAGGTCTTGTCAAGTTACAGCGTGGGGACGCGGAATAATTAGCCTGCGCTGAATTTAGGTCGCCTGATCTCGAACAGTCGTCTTCAAGAGCCGCCGAAGCGTGCTCTACTGTGATAGCGGCGTTCAAGAAACGCAATTGGGCACTAAGTCGACGTCGCGTATATCTTGCCAACGTCTAACGAGTGTGAGCGCTTCTTCTCTCTCGCTAAGCTGGTGCTGTCTGATCTGCGGAAGCGAATGTCTCCAGCTAGGCTTGAGATGATAATGTTTCTGAATTACAATCGTGACTTGCGGAGTAATGCAAATAATTGAATTATTAATTTGCTTAGCTCACATCGATGTATTAATCTAAGTATTGCATTTTCGAGCTCCCTGCCTCAAACTAAGCTGTATTAAGGTGCGAGACGTAGCCATACAATCGTCGCTTCTCCGGCACCAATTATTTCAGTGCCACCTGCGTGTTACAGTGCACCGCCAGCCAGATCTCTCCTGTCACACCTCGAGACAGTGGCTTCAGTAAGCTTAGTTGCAGCTGGGCCATGGGGACCCGAAGACGACGGATCTTGCAGTCTGACGGAAACTCCGAATGGCCATCTCGTTCTTCTGAGCTGTAGCGTCCTCCTTCTCCTGGTCTCGTACACGTGTCGTTGCCGGTCTGTAGAGGATTCATGCGAGCAGTAGAAGCCAGAACGCGAAGGCTGCTGCGTATTTGGTGAGTATATCCCATGCGGACGCCACGTCTCCAGGTTGTGGAGCAGAACTTGGACTGGTTCACGAGATTGTACGGCGCGCAAGGGATCACCATTGCACTGCAATACACTGCGTCTAAGCCACTTTAAAGTCCGTGGAGTGCAGTGCGAAGATCAGATAAGGCTGCCCTGCCCGTCCGAGTCCATGTTCAGGTTCTTCACATCCGTACTTCCATCCCATATCGAAGATGAGGTTTAAACACTCGCGTTTCTCTCACCAGCATTCACCCGACGGCAAGACTTGTCCCGAGCTCACCGTAGATGATAATTACAGTCCAAAGAGCACTCGCCGTGCAAAGATACTCCGGAGCAGCGACCATGATCTTCTGCAAGTACCGTAACTTCTTCAAAAACCATCACATGTCATTAGCCCGAGAAGTAGGTCGCAAGACGAGATAGAGCAAAGCGAAACTTCTACGCTGGGTTCAGGACGCGGTGGGTCCCTTAGAGAGCGGCAGTAAGCTCGCCAAAGGCGAGATACTCGAGATCGCCATGGTCTCAGTTGCTCTGACCGTTTACGGTGAGTCCTCACTGGCTGAAATGTACGACCGCCCAATATCCTTTTACACACGCATACAGTAACCTACGTATGCCGGCTAAGAAGCAAGCCTGTCATGACGGCTCGGACGCTATAAACAAAGACAAACCGGAGGCCGACTGGAAGTGATGCTTCGGCTTAATGAGCGCCTGAGGCGTGACGCTGCACTGTCACTTCAGGTTGCGTATCGGCCTCTCTGCCGTTCTCCCCAGACTGCCGCATTTGCAGATATGTCTTCAGCTGCATCTACATTGGACTGCTCTCGAGAGCTGGGAGGCCTTGCACGACGGAAGGTCGTGCCATCTGGTAGTATACACTCTCTCAGTTGGCAACCAGTGCGCTCGAAGGCCTTGGGAGTCACCACCAACTACGCCATGGAGCGACCGCATCGTGTGTAGACTTTGGCTACCGAGTGCGCGGGCGTCAAGACGTATCCAGCATCCCAGAGGAAGACTCGCTGGAGGAGACCAGGTAAGTCGCCCCATGAGAGCAAATTCGTACTGAGCTACTGTTCGGAGTGATTACCGCAACCGTAAATTAAGACATTTATGGTCGTTTTAAAGACTTTATGGTTGCGTTACCCAAATTCGTAAATTACCTGCGAAACTAAAATCCAAAAAAAAACGTTTCCGTCTTAGGTACGTATCTGTTCTTTTAAGTTCGATTCGTTTTAAATACGATCATTCTGAGCCTCCCATTTCAGAAATTGCGCGGGAGCGAGAAGAACGCGCGGCTGCGCCTGGAACACGAGCTCCACACCCGACGCTGACGCAACTGAAGACTCATGAGTCGTGCGCAGGACGCGGCCAAGCCTGGTACGTACCGCAGTACTTGCGCCTGACGCAGCAAAAGTTAGTTTGACCTTATGTGCGAATCCGTAGACTGGCGAGGACGTACGAGGCTGCGAGATCTGTATGCGGTAATTGGCATCGAAGACGCCAACGACAGCAGTAGCGATGATAGCAGAGACGAGGATGCGTCTGCGGGCGAGGAGGATAGCAACGCGGAAGGGGAAGATTCCTTTTCGGAGTCAAAGAGTGATCTATCATTGAGCGCTGGTACGCACGTTTGCTGTCATGTTAATTTTTTGCGATGGGCAATTACTTATATTAACATTGGGGTGTGTTTTGCAGCTCGTGTGCAACGCAAGAAGACAAAGAAAAAGAGAAACGAGAAGACACACGCAGGTAAAGTTGCTTTAAAGCGATTGTGGTTGATTTAGCGAAGGTAATTTTATATTTAATTTGTTATTTTAGCCTCTACGAAGAAAGAGAAGTTAATCCGCGAGTCACCACACCTGCAGTCGCTGCCGCGTCCCTCCAAGAAGCAGAAAATTGGGTCCGGCGGAAGGTACACAGCGTGAGCGATCCAGACTTACACGCCTGTCCAAATCCACTGCAGATTACACGCCTAGAATCCGAAAAAGTAAGCACCTTAAAGAGATGGACTCCATGAACGGTGGTGGTGAGAACGAAATAGTGAACGTAGTGGAGCCGTTCAGGCCGAAGGCACCACTTTTGTCGTGGATTGATTTTAAAAAGGAATTCAAGAAATACATGGAGAAGAAGAATTTAAAGTTTCGTGTGCGGAGCTCCGAACGAACGGCGTCTTACAACACGTACGCTTGTTTTACTGGTGTGATCTGTCTAAATATATTAATGAAAAGGAATGTTCTTATTTTGTTCAAGCACAAATCCCTACTTCGTTTGAGTATTCGGAAAGAATCTACCGGTGCACTCACGGTGTATCCCAAAAATCAAGGTCCAAGGGGCATCGCAATCGAAAGCAGCGGTACTGCAAATGCACAGCACGGTTAACGGCCACCGTGAGTCGCGTTTCGGGCAATCACTACGAAATCGTGCTACGAAACCAGGTTCGAGACTTATTATAAATGTGTGCGTGATAAAGAATCCGGCTGACATCTATAAACTTGTTGCTGTTTCAGAACCACACCCACTCGCACAACAACAGCTGAACACAAGCTTCAAGCTACTTGACAGCGGC